CATTTTTGAACAACGATCAAAATTACATTTTATCTTTATTATGCATTATTTGTAAACCCCTAATGTATTTTTAATTAACAGGTAATATTATAAGAAATTAGCCTGTGTACTTCAGCCATGGTCAGCATTGACCAGCGAACATTTAAGAACATAGACTGATTTCGTACTTGTTAGTTCTCATCAGTTTGCCTTAACTGATAATCAGATATTGCGGGTATTGCAGGTATTGCAGGTGCTGAAGAGCTTGCAGTCTACAGGGTAGCTATTTCCCAGAATATCATTAGTTAAAAACTCGACTAGTGCGATACTAGTTATGATTGCACAGCACCTACAGGTCAGTAGGTCGCTCTCTGCTAGCAGGTCTAAAGCAATTATTTTACTAATAGGCATTGGTAGCAATGGCAATTAAGATATCATTACTTTGCGTAAATTATATCTCATACACATTTAAAACGTAGTATATTATTGTACGAATAAATTTCAACTCGTTTTGTTGATTACCTATGTACTATTTCACTGATTCACAAATCAAATTAAATAATATTAAATAAAGGCATTCTGATATAAACATCCCAGTTTAAATTTAACAATATATTTAATCAGAAATCAAATGCACGCCAATAGAATGCAATTTGCTTTGTTACACGGATTCCGTTTTTCGTGAGTTGTTCGTTTAGCTCCGAATACAACGAGGTTACCGTGCAATTAAGTCTAAAAATGGTGCAATTCTCCTTAATGGAACCAGACAATTATGTAGACTGGAAAAAATTAAAACCCTACAATACTGTTTTATTTTTTTTTAATTTGCATAATAAATCTCAAGAAAAAAAGCAGTCCAAATTTCTTACAAGCCCAAGTATGTCATCACACAGGTCGCTTCATTGAAAATCACATATCAACGAGAAATTATTACAATGTAAAAATATTTTCATTCAAATTTCGCTCAATTTTACTTAATAATGTATCAATTTATGTCCACACTATGTTACTCCTAATTATCAATTGAGCGACATTTGACTCTATTCTCATTTAGAGTTGATTTTTTCTCTAATATGATTTAATTTTAACTATTATTGAATCATTTTTTACTCAGACTTGGTTTTTAATGAACTAAATATTGAGTGCAAAAATAAATCACTTATAAATGATTAATTAGAATATACAGTGTTGGAATTAATTCACTTCGCGGGGCTTACTCCTGTCCTGGCTGAGACCCGCCATCTGAGACCCGCCGCCGCCGGCAAAGGCCTGTTCTCTTCTGTAGCATCTAACGAGCCCCTATCAACTGTGGTCAAAATTACAGAAGCAATATGTAAGTGGTGACATCTTCACGACGCCATTCAGATTACGCGAAAGTAATATACATTTAAATTCACTCAGTAATGAGGACATTTACTCTGGCTTAGGTACAAGTGCACCAAATACGAGTTTACGTGAAAAATTTATTTAAGGAGTACCTATATTTGAGTGAAAGTACTCAGTTTTAGTTTAAATATAATCACAAATGAGTAAAACGGTCAAAATGTCCAACATTGATTGAACATGTACTCAATAATTTCACTCAATGGATTAACTCCGAACCTTTATTGCTTTCACTCACACCGACTTTTTTACAGTGTAAAGTTAAAACAGAAAACTGAGCTTAACATTATCTAATGGGCTCTTACTTCTTTTAATGCATAAGTTATAAAAGTAAAATAAAATGTTTTAGTGGAAAAATGTACCTATTTATCGTAAGAAGATGCAATTTTGTTCTAGTATAAAATTGTGTTAGCAAAATAATTTTTATTGTGATTGGCATATGATGTTTTAACACTAATAAGAAAAATTGCTATTCTAATATACATTATCTTACAATTAGTAAAATTTACATAGTGTATCAAATTTCAGTAAATTTTGATTGCTGTTAGACAGACAAAAATCTTTTTTTTTCTAAAGTTTAACACTTCGTAAGTCGGAAATTAGTCCACTTAGAACAGTGATATTCCACATTTTTGCAAACAGACCCCTTAAAAAAAATTTATATTCAAGTACCTCTTTATCTTAAATTTTAATATAATCAGAGTTGGAATAAATGTTCTTTAATGCTAATTACAGTTATTAGAGGGACTAGAAACTAGGACTAAAAGTTAGATAGTATGTTAAAATGATTTTATTTAATTATGTATTTAGTGGCTCCATTATTACAACATTTACATTGAAATTTAGATAGATTAATTACCTAATAGTCCAATTAAATAGGTCTTTAAATCGCAATTTTGGTCAACTTGCCTGAATTTTTTATATAAGTTAGTGTGACGTATATAATAACAATAAGTGATAGTAATTTTTTTTCAACCCCCGACCAGGGGTGAAAAAAGATAAAATAAAGGGATTTTGCAAGATAACTCAAAAGAGCTAGAAAAAGATGTTTCTTATAAAAGTTGTAGGGCATAAAATTGTACATAAAAATGGTGTATTGACTTTTTCTTGTACTATTAAAATTAACAGAGTTAGGGAGACTAGAAGTTAAAGGATGATTTCAGAAATTTAAAAAATCATAACAAGTACAAAAATTAATGAATTTTATAATTTTTTTTCCAATTTACTCTTAAAAATAACGAGCGTTCAAATAAAAACGTGATCAAGTTGGTTCTGAAAATTTGGACGTAGGGCGTATAGCAAATGAACTTAAACGTCATCTGTCAAAGCGTTATATCGCCGCTATCAATTTGAATATTTTCGTTTTAAAAAGCGTTTAAAATGGTGTTTTCTCAAGAACAAAAAGTGTTTATCATAGAGTCCTACTTTAGAAATGGACGCAAGATTGATGGAATATGGAAGTATTCTATTGAGGAATGTTTCATAGAATTTCAAAATCAATTTCCCGGCGTTGTTGAGTACAAAATTTTTCATAGTGCAGTTCAGCGTTGTGTTAATGTTTTTCGTGAAACGGGCAGTGTAACAAGAAAAGAAGGAAGCGGCCGACCTAAAAAGCGGACTGAAGAATTAAAAGAAAATGTCCAACAAATAATGGAAAATGCGCCAAGAACTTCTGTACGTGTTTTATCACAAATGGTGGGAGTATCAGTCGGTACCTGCCACACAGTGTTAAAAAAAGATTTGCGTTTGTTCTCCTATCGTTTAACTTGTCAGCAAGAACTTCATGAAGTTGATTTTCCGCGACGGGCTGTATTTTGTGAATGGTTTTTAAACAACTACGGTGAACTTCATAATATCACCTTTTTTTCTGATGAAGCCTGGTTTCATTTAAGTGGTTACGTAAACTCACAGAATATGAGAATGTGGTCTTCTGAAAAACCAGATAACTTTTTTGTCGAGGGCCCTCTACACGCTCAAAAAATTGGAGTTTGGTGTGCTCTCAATCGAAGGAGGATTTATGGACCTATTTTTTTTAATGGTACTCTTACTGCGCAAAGGTATAGAGAAGAAATTATCTCTCCTTTTGTTAACCAGCTGGAAGAACGAAACGAAATTACAAACTTTTACTTTCAACAAGATGGCGCAAGGGCACATACGGCAGGCGAGACGATGAATATGTTGAGGGAAATTTTCCAAAATCGACTAATAAGTCTCAATGCTGAACATGAATTTCCACCGAGGTCATGTGATTATTACGCCGTGTGATTTCTTTTTGTGGCCTTACCTTAAAAACATTATTTTTGAACTGCCTATTCCTGATTTAAACCATCTGCAGGCTCGACTTATAGACAAGATTCGTGAAATTAACAATACCCCGAGCATCTTAGAAAATGTCTAATTCTTTGAGGAACAGGTGTGAAAAGTACTTGGAACAAGGAGGGGGACACTTTCAGCAGCTGCTTTAGTTTATTGTTATAACAAGGAGGGGGACACCTTCCGCAGCTCCTTTAATTGTTTGTTATTGTTATCACGATTATTCTTTAAAATAAAGTTATATAGTCATTAACGTTATTGAAACTGACAGCTGCTATACAGCTTGTTGAGAAATGAGGTTAAGTTGGTCGCTATAAGCTACTCCCTACGTCCAATGTGTCAGAGCCAACTTCGACCACGTTTTTATTTGAACGCTCGTTATAACCTATCTTTTCAGAGAAATCGATATAATTTTTAATTTTTAATATAAAAAAAAGTTATAACAATTTCACAAAGTGAACGTGATTTTTTATCTTTGTCATAAAACAAAATTTCGAAAGCAACTTTTTTAATTTAAATAATCGATCGAATGGCATAGAAAAAAATTGTTTTAGTGTTAAATAATAAAAATTAACGATTACAAAATTTTAATTGTTTTAACTTTTTTATTAAAAATTAAAAAATATATTTCCCTGAGCAGAAAGTTTTCATTTTTTAGAGTAGATTAAAAAAAATAATAAAATTCACTCATTTTTCTGCTTATGATTTTCTAAATTTTTGAAATCATCCCATAACTTCTAGTCTTCCTAACACTGTTAATTTTAATGGTATAAGAAAAAGTCAATATACAATTTTTATGTAGAATTTTTTGCTCTACATCTTTTATAAGAAACTTTTTTTCCGAGCTCTTACCTCTTTTGAGTTATTACTGTCATTTATTGTTATTATATACCCTAAACTAACTTATATCAAAAATTCAGGCAAGTTGACCAAATTGCGATTTAAAGGCTCATTTAATTGAATTATAATGGTAAATGAAACATTTTAGCCTCCTTACACACATACATTTTTAGTACATAGGTTGAATATTAACAAATACGACTATAAGAAGGCTTCATGAATACTTAAGCTAATTGTGGAATTGAACGGAAAAACCTAACTATTCCAAGACCTTGAATACCACTGACTTAAAGGCAACTTTTTTTCTTAGAATTAACTTATGAATTATTCCCGTAACTATATTACCATTTTGTATAAACCGTACCCTAATTTTTGTATGTACTATCCGTCCTGGAAATATTGGAGGATAATTCATTAAGAATTACCCTGTATAGGTCGATGGATATTTTGCTGGAACAACGCAATATCAATCGATGGAGACTTACCAACAACGTTGAGCTGGATGAATATACTGGTGGGCGGATGCGAGGACACTTGGCACTCGTACAAGCCGGCATCCCTTTGCTGCACAAACTTGATTTGCAGCGTCCAATCCTGCAAACGTACAGAAAATCTTTATTAAATGGGAAGAATTCCAGCACTCTTAAGGGTTAAAGGGCACTTCGTTCTAAATTGAAGCCATTTGAGCAAACGTAACGTGTAACTTTAAACTTCAGTAAGTCTATCCGTTTAGTCCTCTATTTGTTGCATGTAGCGTCGTTTATCTTTGCAGCTAAACGACAGTCTGAGATTCGAAATTATTTTGATTAACTTTACTCCTTTCGTTGTTCCTCGAGTTTCTGATTTCAGAATTTTATTTAATAATAGATTTTCTTATGATTAAATTCTCTGAGAAGTCTGAACTTTTAAAATGCAAAGTTTCTAAATTGGGAAAAGAAAGACAATTTTTTATTCATTATGAATTCGTGAACGGTGCTTGACATTCTTTATTATTTGGAATTGTAACAATGATAAATTAACTCCCATACTTATAAAAATTAGTATTAATAGTGACACTTTTGTCACCAAAAACTATTATGTCAAAACGAAAAAAGTGATTACCGGCAGAACTGTACGATGATTTTTTTAAGTAGAATTTTTCTTTGATAAAAAAGTGTTTCAGGCCGAGAAAAATTAATATCTCAGAAATTTCTTGATTTTTTTATCTAAAAAAATTTGAGGTTATTTAAGACAGAGAAAGGGAAACTTTCACCAAGTTTCGTCAAAATTAAATTATTTTTACGGAAATGAGAAATAAAAACAAAAAATCAGAAAAAACCCTGTTTTTCGCATTTTTCTCGGAAATTTTGAGGTTATGCTAAAAAGTGGCCTCTACAAAAGTTGTAGATTTTTGCATGATCTACAACTTCTGTATTATATACTTTTTTGTTTGACGTCAACTTTCGCCAGAAATCCCAATTATACAATTTTTCATAACTTTTCAACCCCCCCAAATCAACCCTCCGCCGCCCCTGCTCACGCATTTATTTTTTTTTTTTTCGTTTATCATAAGCCCCTTTACTATTTCCACTTATAAAAGTCCAAGTAACAATTTTCTTTTTTTTCCCCTCTAAATAAGTTATTTTGATCGGTCTAGAAATAACTCCATTAGAAAATATAGTGGATATGTTAAAGGATTGGATATACAGGGTATCTGATAAGTATATGGTATACGCTCGGGAGTATAAAGGGGAGGTGAAAATAACCCTAGTTTGTCATAAAAAAAATCCTAAAGTACCCCATAACGGAGATACAGAGCCTCAAAGGGGTATCCAGCTTTGCGGTTCTAACTTTTGAACCGACTTGTATAATTTAATGGAATTTTAATATCTTATGTAGGCCATAAAGGTTCATAAAACTATAAGACAGTAGATGTTTTACACTGTCAGGAAAGTCAGGAAAATTTTGACAGGTGTCATTTTATAAAGCTGAAATCTGCATTTTTAAATACTTTCGTCATTTCTCTTTTTGTATAACATGTTTTTTATACAAAAACCTATTTCGAAATTTATTATTATGTTTATTAACATAAGCTATTTAAACTCTTTAACTAATCGAATCACATCGTAACTAATAATTCCTATTAAAATAATAAAATTTGTCATTACTACATCTCATTAATGCTGACATGTATCTAACTTATGCCCAAGCACTCGAAAATTATATGGAGGTAAGAAGAATTTATTCTGATACATTTCCAAATCACTTAAACGCAAGAATGCTAAAAATTCGAAAGCTTTGCTGCTTCTTGTTTATTTGGGCAGATTTTCGAAATGGGCAGTACCTCGACTGTCCTTGTCCGACGGATGTTTTCTCGTTGTACTTGAAACATTCCAGGATTTCGCTGCAATGGTGTGTTATTCTTTCCATCAGGCCTTCCTTGGCGTGAACTGGCGTCGAATAGACAAGCCTCTTTAAATTTCTCCATAAAAAGACATCCAATGGAGTCGTGTCGGGCGACCTTGGTGGCCGTAAAATAGGTCCACCTCGACCTATCCATTGATAACCAAAAGTATTTGATAAGTGCTGTCAAACTAAATTGCTAAAATGGGGAGGTGAATCGTCATGTATAAACTACATCTGATTTCTAATTTATGAAGGCAATTTAATCTGTCTTCAAAAAAGAACAGTCCAATGAGATGATTCCCAATAATCGCCACCCATATGTTAACCATGAATGGTTGGTGCTTTGTCTGTAGTATTGCATGGGGATTTTCTTCATGCCAGATATGCAAATTATGGCAATTTATTACTCCGTCTCGGGTGGAACCGGCTTCGTTCGAGAACAAAACAATACTAGTCAAATTTGTATTTTGCCTAAATCGTTGCAAAAACCAATTTGCATAATTGACTTTTGAAGGGTAATCAGCGGGAGACATGGCATGTACCTTTTGGACGTGATAAGAATGTAGTTGTTGTTTTGGAAAGGTCTCATGAACGATCCACTTCATCCAATGAACTTGGACCGACAGCTTTCTTCTACTATTAGAGAGATTTTTAGCAATCTCATCCAGAATATCTTCCTCTAATTGAGGGTTCCTTTCTTATTTTTAACGAATTTACGCCAAATGTGCTAAATGGTCTACCCCTTGAATTTCTGCTATAGTTGTCAACGTACGATCATTTGGAATATTTCGTTTATCCTCATACCAATCCGCGTTTGAAATGTTGTAAAACATTAGTTAGTTTGCTTTCATCGCGTATAATATCCTTTTAACATATTATCTACAACTTCACTGTTCTTTTAAACCGCCATATTTCACTGGAATACACCACATCTCACTAAAAATATTGGTTAAATATTGGCTAAAAACTATTTCAAATAAAAACACTGTTAGTTAAGAGAATAAAAGTGAAATTACATCCTACAAAATTTAGAATTCATACAAGGTTTTCAGTATCATATTCACTATATATCACTGCATTCTTTTTAAGTTTTCTGAACTCAAATTTACAAAATCTATCAATTAACAGTAACTTATGTCAGGAAAATGAGTGCTCAATTTTAAATAGACCGAAAAATAAACATTTGGATACTATGAGATCGTCAAAATTGTAAATTCTTTGCAAGCTAAAAATATAATAGGATTCAATTTTTGGAAAATGTTCCGTTTAGATTTTTGTGATTTATCTGCAGTTTCTGTAATTTTAGTACTAAAAAATTATTTTTTTTCGAAAACTGTCATTAATAGTCGACATTTTCGTTAAATTTTCAGTTGACAAAGTGAGTCTTTTCTGTCATCTAGCTGCAAAATACTTTTATGTTCTAGAACTTAAAAGAATTTGTCATTTTTTCGAAACTTATTTTTGATTTATAATTAAAAAATATATATTTTATAAATTTTAAGTAGGTAATATTATAACATTTTAATACAAAACAGTAACTATTATAAACATGACGATTACAATTTATTTTGCACTATATGTAAATTGAAAATGCCGATTTGCAGTAAGTTAAATTTATGCCAGATCCAGTGCCGTCAGCTATCGTAGATAAATAAAACAAACATTTAAATTATTCAAATTCTTGTCTGTGATTGGTGGTTGAGAGGAGTATAAAATTGGTAGAATATCCCTTTTCATATCATTGTATAAAACTGAAAATGACTTCTCAAAGTTTTTGCTACAAAAGTAAAATAAACTGATCTAGAATATTTGGTGTCTTTTTGATCAGATTTGTTTTGTTTCAGTCTTGTTTACGATATTATCGTATGAGCGTTTATAGACAAGGCTAAAACCTCGCATTCGTGGGAGAAATTTTCCGAATCGATTTTTTTGCATATTCAGATTCGTGAGATGTTCCTTAACATGAATGAAGATGATGCCGGCCGGAAACCTGGTGCCCATTTGTTTAAACAAACTTTTTTTTAAACAAATTGTAATAATTGGTTTTTCACACTGGAACATTTTTTTCAGGTATTTTGGCACATTATAAACAAAAAAGTTCCTATGTACTATGCCTCTATATTTGATTAAATTTTCAAGTATTTAAGGGCCTTGGTTTTTGCTGTGCAAAATATTGAAAATTTGCTAATTTTTTTTTCAAAATCTGGATTGAAAAATTATTATGCAAAATCTATCGAACCGATTTTGATGAAATTTGGTGTGATAATTCTACATAACATGAAGTCTTTTCGAGCCGAGTATAAAGGTCCTATACCCAATTTAAATACCCCAAAAAAATCCCTAGAAAGTATTGTTTTTTAACCCCATTTTTGCGATTTTTTCGATTTTTACCATAATAATCATGATTCATTCGATTTGTAACTTGACATGTTTTGTAAAAAATTTAATTGCAAACATTTTTTTCCTCTTCCATTTTCGCCTAAAATCAACCTTTGAAAAAGTACATAATTAAATAGGAAGAAAAATATGACATTTTTCGAATTTTTTAAGTTAAAAAAAGTTAAGCCCACGTTTTTTTATGCGCATAGAAAAATTTTCATTTCTAGTGATGTTTGAAAGCCAAAAAGCCAAAAATCTCCGTGGATATACGATTCACCCAAATATGCCTTTTTGAAACAGATGGACTAATTTACGATGTTTTAAATTGTTTTGATAGTGAAAACCTGAAATTGCATAAATTTTTAAAAATATAAACAATAAAAGAAGTTTTCAACGTTGCACTAATAACCTTTTACAAAATAACGCTTTATAATTTCTGCACTTTAAACTCCTTTTTAAACGTTTCCGGTCGGAAACTTTTTTATTTACAAAGTATATCTAAGTGCATTTCCATACGGACAGAGAGAAACTGTAACGAAATAAAATTATATCATCTTGCAGATTTAATAAATTCTATGTTTCATTTCAGTATCATTAAATACAATGTTATACCCTTATCTCGCACGAAATGTATTATCAGCTGGACTCCGCCAACATTGTTATGAAAGTTGTTGCAAATCATGTTAGTTTAATACTTTTTCGAATCGTCCTTATCTGCTCAGCGGCTGCTTAACGGACGTCCGACAAGTTTGAAATGTCCGGTGAACTAAGTTCCGTCAGAGGACTTTATCAACTTTGGACTAGTAAACAACGTGCTGAGTTTGTCAAAT